CTGCCATGGATCCTGCGTAATTTTCATGGATTCCATCTGCTCGTGCTTTTTGAATCTGATGACTCCTTCTGAAGCATCAACTCGTAGGCCCACCTTGTTCCACGTATTGATTTCATCTTTGTTTTTTGTTTCCCTACGACAATGAGAGCAACTCTATTGTACCCTGCTGGGTCAATTAGTTCTCCATGGCTACTTCTTCAAAGAGTTGACATAGTCTTTTAACGAACTCGAATTCATCTAGTGTTCAGCTTTCTTGTAAAGCTTCACAATGGCTGTTTCGAACCCAACAAAGTCCAACTTCTTTTTTCATAACAACCTTGGTTGCTAATGATGGGTTTCTATTGATGGCACGCCCTGCGTTCATTTGATGCTCAACAGCCTTCGTTGGGCATGTTAGTCCTGCCTGCAAGCATGAAGCATGTACAATTTACGCAGCTCAAAAATATGTGAGCGCTCGCGACTAGGCCATGGTCCCGCCCACTGGCCACAGCAGCACCCAACTTTCATTTCTTGAGGCTTCCTGGCAGTGTGGTTGTCCCTACTACCTTTCTCCCTATTCGGAATGATGCAAATGAGACGATAAGCAGAAAGAGCTGGCACCAACGAGTGAGAACTCATCCCAACCACGCCCTTTCTTCGTATTATACACATACGAGCGCGGTTCAGCATGGGGTTCTATATGGTGCATTTCCGGCTGGTTCTTCTGCTTCTCTTCGTAACTGAATTACTTTCCACCCCATCATCATATTTGGCAGGGTTCAGACTTCGCGACGACAGCGCTTCGGTCGCGCGTTGAAGCGACCGACGCAGTCGAAAGCATGCGTATCGATCGCCTCGACGCGCGACCGAAGCGCTGCCGTCGCTAAGTCTGAAGCGCTGCCTTTGAGCCGCTCAACTCACCATTTTCAAGCGGGAGGGTGCATTTGAGTCAACTAGGTGATATGTGGAGTTTTCTGTTGATGACCTGAGGTTAGACTCGCTGAACTTAGGCGGAGGCCTAGTGCAGCACCACACTTGCCCTGGTGGGTCACTCTTCTGGCCTCTGATTTCACTCTTTTTGGCACTATTTACCCTTTACTGCCCCAGCCATCCGAAATCAGGCCGGTTCCTGACCGACTTTTTTCTCCGTGGGCAGAATTCGCTGAAAACTTGCTCCCAGGGGTAGTTCGACCCGCTGAACACGAATATCGCATCCGCTTGACCCGAAACCTCCTGGCGCCCGCGCCACGGGCGCCGGCGCCAAAATACTCGAAATCACCAAATTCGCTGAAAACTTGCTCCTAGGGGTAGTTTGACCCCCTGATCACGAATACCACTTCCATATTGCATGAAAAAAATGCCATTGAACAACTGCTTCTTCTCGAAATCCGCGCGTTCGCCCAGCTTTCACACGCAAGCTCGTGGGAAATGGGATTTCCCACGGAATCGTGTGGGAATTGAGTGTTTCTCGTGGTGACGTCTTCAAAACTGACCTATTAACTTGGAAAGCTCGGACCTGCTATGAATACTTATTTTCTCATGCCAAGCTAAATGTGAATTTCGTGTTCACATCGTGTCTATATTTACCCATGTTGGACAGAACTTTCTCTCAGCCAGTTCTTAGTGATTCACGAGTATTTTTGGCGCCGGCGCCCTGGCGCGAGCGCCAAGAGGTTTCGGGTCAAGCGGATGCGATATTCGTGTTCAGCGGGTCGAACTACCCCTGGAGCCAACTTTTTCACGCCGAATTCTGCCCACGGAGAAAACAACGGTCGTCCACGGAACCGGGGCGATTTCGATGGACATGGGGGCAGTAAAGGGAAATAGTGCCTCTTTATCTTCGACAGCTTTCGGACGCGAAGTATTTCCTCACTAGTTCGAAGCTTTTATTTGTGTAGTGAACCCGACTCGGTGGGTGTGTTGCAGCTCATTGAATTATCATCACATTTACGAATGATTTCACTCGCCAGCGCTGTGGTGAGCCCGCTTTTGCGTGGTTGGAGTTACCCTATTTCTTGAGGCATAGGGCCACCACCGTTTAGGGCGCCTTCGCCTCGCGTGCTTCGGACGTTTTTTTTTCTTCTTTTACTTTTGTATTAATTTTTATTTGTACTCATCCATATGAACGGTCTCCATTCAACGAAAAAAATTTTGAAAACCATTTTAAAAAAGTCTATGAAGAGATCTTTGAGTATTTTACGTTTCATTTAATCGTTAGTGTTGCTCTCAGCAGCTCTTTTCCACGAAAGTGTGCGTGAACTACGACCGTTCGGCCATGCGTGTGGTGACTGTCAGCAGGGTACAGCATCGTTGTGTGAAACACATAGGCGGGTTCGTATCTTCCGCTGGAAGGAGGTCGTATTTGGTCGTTAGGGGAGGGGGGTCGTATGGGCCTTTGAGAGCAATTTGCTGCGCTGGGAAAAAATTTGCCAGTTGTTGATTTCTCGTGATTTTTCCTGTTTCCTAAGCACTATAAACACCCTCCCCTCCCCTCGCTCGGCTCGACAGAAAAATTTTTGAGAAAAGTAGGAAAATTCGGGAACTTTTGGAAAAGTGGTAGGAAGTTGAGGAAAATCTAAGAAATTTTCCTGTTCCAGGTGGCTGTACCCCCTTTCCGCTCGACGGGAAATCCTTGGGTGGAAAACTGGAAAATTTGGGAAATTGGTAGGTAGCTGTGGGGGAAGGGGGGGGGGGGTCGTACCTGACACCCCTCTCGGAGGGCGGGGGAGGGTGGTACTTCCCTCCCCCTATTTCACAATCACGATGCTGTACCCTGATTGTCAAGGCCTAGGTGGTCTTCTCAGTCAGTTGCAAAGCGTCAACAGTCAGCTGCCGCCATCTGTAACTCCTGCCACTTGTGTCTGGGTTTTCTACGATTACCTGCTGTGAAAGTGATCGATACATTCATTCAGAAAACCTGTACTGTCCACTGCATAGCCCTGTATGAGTGGCTGGTTGGGTGTTATAACAATTATTTTGATTTATTTGTTGTTCATTGAAGGATGGCCACATCATATGTGACGGAGTCATTGATGGGACCGGCTAGTGCACGTGGGTCATCGTATACCTACACTTACGAATCACACTATGATAATCCTCCAGAAATTGAAGACGAGGAGGATCGGTACGCGGCTGTCGAGGATGGCGCAACTCATCAAACGCACAAGGTTGAATATTTTAATTTTTTTTAATTTAAGCTTTCATTCTTTTCTTGCATATTTGGTTATGTCCTACAAGATTCCTTTCATTCATTCTCTGACAAGCGCACAAAAACTTTCTCCGTACGTCCTCAAAACAATCCTTTTGCTGACCGAGTAAGCGGGACTTTCCTGACCGCTAGTACTGTCTATTGGTGAGTGTGAATGAATGGGTAACGTGCCCACTTCGCTGAAGAGTCATTCCTGAAGGCCGTGCTGGTAGTTTTTTCCGCTGTAGACGCTAGTACATATCAGCAATCAGCAGAGTGGGTTTGGCGCGGCGCCAGCCGGTTTTCCACCAGTTATTGTTCTTGTCCTCTCCGGCGGTTAGTGGATAACGAGCTGGCAATGTGCCACACCCAACCCCTGACACGCCTTAACGTCTGCAGCGAAGGCTACAGTATTTTTTTGACCCCGTTCGGCTTTGGACGGGCATTTTGCACTTTTGCAAGCTCCTTTTATAGTTTCTGTTACA